GTTTATATATCCGGACCGAAAAACACGGTTAACTTTTCTCGGGAACTCCCTACATATCGTCACCCGACGTACAGATGATGGTGGAGAGAGAGAGAGCTGAGGCAGAAAACGCGGATCGGGAAAGGCTACACAAACCCCGATTTTACACTTTTCAATAAATTTTACATTAAAAAAATAAAAAAATATATATATTATATATTAAGGCATGATTACTCTCTTGAGTACATTATGGGGAAAGTGTGATTTTAATAATTATTGGGAATATTGAGTGTGGCAGCAAGCAGGTTCTCCGAAGCTGCAAGCGTTGGAACGTTTAGGAACCGTCCGCATGCATAGCATTCTTTTTCTTACTTTTTTTTTTTCGCCTCTTTTGTGCTTTATTTTGTTTGGTTTGCATTGATCTTTGTCGTGCTTTGAGGAATATACTCGAACCCCGCGCACGTCTTGCGCCTGGGGAATTAATACGCGTAACCGTGCGAAAACGTAGGCATACGTGCGCGAAGAGCGCGTACGCCGGACGACCTCAGAGAGTCATAAACGTGCGCGGTAGCGACTTGTTCGAGCGCTCCCAAAGAAGCTTGCCTATACGGATGCAAATCGGGTTAAAAGTGCACCTGGGGAACTTTACTTCGTTGACGAAAAAGTACAAATACTCGAAGCTAAGAGGGAACAAGATTAACGGCATAGCCTCTGCGAGGAACATGTATTTTGTTCTGTTGGTGATTTAAAGGGACCCCGCAACGCCTTTTTAACTATTTCTAAACTTGAACTGCTACGCGGGAACCGGTGTGTGACACTCTAGTAAAACGATAAAAATATTTATAATAAAAAGTTGAGTTTCTTACAAATAGGATTTTGTGTTTTCGGAGTTTATTTTTTGTTAGATTTGGAAACTGTTTTTCGGAATTTATTTTTCGCTAAAACTTAAAAATTTGTCGGGTAATTTTTTTTTTATATTTCACATTATTTGAATTGTAGAGATTCATTTTACTGTTTCCAAATTTTTAATATTAAAAACGAATAATGAACAATATCCGGACTTACATTAAATCAGTGTTGACGGTACCGCGTTACAAGTAACGGCGTTACCGGTAACACGTTACTACTTCCGGTAGAGTTCTAAAGTACTCCTTATATATTCAAGACAGTGACGGGTAACGTACTTGGGTTACTTATTTTATGTAACGGGTAACGTAGTTACGTGACTCGTTACTTCTTCTATCAAAGACTTAACAAAAATTACTCTTCAATGTTTTTCGTGTTTTTAGGAACCAAGACTTGCACATTTTATAGTGTTTGTGCCTTCCTTTAAGTTTCTTCTCGTGAGTATTTAGGTAAAACCGTAAAAAAAAAGATAAAGTAATTATGTCCACTTTTTGCATGAAAATAATGTTTCTTGGAATATATGGCGCTTATGCGTACTTGTACCGTCAAAACAGTAAAACCTGTGAATTCATAATTAAAAAAGTAACTCAAAAGTAACCTGCGTTACTTTCTTATCGGTAACGGTAACGCGGTCCTTTTGTTTTGAGGTAACGTAGGTCGGTAACGCGTTGCTTTTATTTGTAAGTAACGAGTAACGGGTTTCGTTAATTTTTTTTCGGTAACGCCTGCAGCACTGCATTAAATTAATAAGAACTCGCCAATGATATGGCTACAGCTGAATTTGGCTTTGACCGCACTTGCTTTTGGAAGTACTAACTGTCCCACGACAGGTCTTACAAACAAAATTGTTGCTTCAATTAAGGTCACTACTTTCAAATGACTAAACACTTGAACGCATTCGCTGGAAAGCAAGAAAGCGCCAGCTGACCTGCACCCCTCTGATAAAATTTACAGCTTCATAACTTTTATTGTTATAAATACACAACCCCTCTTCCCTCTAAGAAGCGCAAATCGTGTGCTCCAAACTGTAAAACGGAACAGTGATTTTTTTTCGTGACCGAGAGATGCAATGACCTAGGATCATGTGCGCTTTGCTTAGGGTGTTTAGGGTGGAGACATCTGGCCATTTTGTCCCACACTTTTCTTTTTCTTTTTTGTTCAGAAGCGCGTGAAAGAGCGTGTCCCTGCACGTGTTTGTGGCGCCGACTGTGATGTGGCGATATTTTGTTTTGGGGGGATCGGTGGCCGAGTGGGCTAGCGCACACCACCTCGGAGCACATGGAGCCAAAGCTCGCGCTGCAGAACCCAGGGATCCTGGGCTCAATCCCCACCCCTGCCCGTTTCGTACCGGCGTGCGGTCGTGTATCACTACTGCGTGATGCACGTTTAAGACCCCAGGCTAGCGGTTGTACTGCACTGGCTAAATTTCTCATCTACAGCTGGGAGACTCGTCGCCCGTTGAGGCAGACCAAGTTCTAGGCTGTATAAACATACACACAACCCAGTTATTATTTACATTTTGTTTTCGTCGATTTCTTTGTATTTTACCCGTGAGCGCGTGCTGTCGGCATCGGGTACCACAAAGGGTGGCATCACCCTAAACAGAAGGACATTGAGGCATCCTACAATGACCTGTTCTTCTGACCGAACTTGGACAAGATGAACGGTGAACTCCCTTCTGTCAATAGTCCGATATTTCAAATGAAAATGAAGTGGCTTCTCCTGAGGACCGTCGACCCTGTGCACTCACGCAATTTATTTGAAAATACAGTCTTCTTTTTATTGCTTTTGATTTTGCCATCGCAACCTCGAAATTCCGAGTTTTGTTTTCAGATAAATCCGAATTTACGAAAGTTTCGCCGACAAATGTTTTACGCTTGGGAGAAGAGCGTGTTGGTTTAAGTCATGGATGAAGAAATAATAAAACAATTAAAACAGGGACAACACAACCACATCTTTCATAAGATGTGGTTGTGTTGTCCCTGTTTTAATTGTTTTATTCTTTCTTCATCCATGAAATGTTTTACCGTGTGTATTTTCTTTATATTGCTTATCGTTCCGCAAGTAAACGAAAACATCCATCCTTCCCCCGCAATAGAGCGATTCCGCTGCGTAATCGCAAAGGAAAAAACAAACAAAATATTTGCCGATATGCAGCCGCGTGTGGCGGTTACAGGAACTGCAGTGTGACGTACTCTGTGGGATGTCGTTTATAAGTTAGCGATTTCTGCAATTTCGTGCTAAACTAAAGGTTTTTATTTATTTATTTATTTCTTAGCACAGAGTAATGCGTGAAGTCAGCCGTGGCCTAGGAGGGAGGTGCCACTTCAATTTCGTACTATTCCCCTAATCTCCGTTGTGTTTCTTTTTTTTTTTTCTTATGTTTTGTTGTAACGAAGTAAATAACTTAAAAACACTTCTGCTTCCCTGTCAGATGCGGTGTCACGCTTTAAAAGCGTGAAAACAAACCAAGGTATACTGTAGGGGTTGCTTGACAGGAAGGATATGCAATGTGGGAAAATTGAGACTAGAGATCGCTTTTCACCACTTGGTTCAGCAAAACATTTTAACACTTCAAAAATAAAAATAAAATCTCCCTGGTGAGTGAACTTCCAGGGTTTCTCTAAAAAAACGTGAACGATTGTGAAGTTGCTGACAAGATGGTGTCATCGTAGACTTTGCTTTTTTTTGCGTTTTGAACGGAAGGTGGCAGGTAAAATTGCTGGTACTATCTCGTGAACAATATAAATAACAACAATTTTTTTTTTTTTGTGGCAGATTATTTTTTTTTGTGCTGTTCAAACTGTTTGATGGAATGCGAAGTTCAGCTTTCATTCTTTGAACTCGATGACAAATCGAGAGATAGCAGGCTGTTTAAGCACAGTGTTGCTGCAGGTTACCATGGATACTTCATCGCTGTTTGCGCATATTGAATGCGCAGCGGAAGCATTACGGTAGCTTCGAAAGTGCGGCACGAGCTTACGGTACCATAAGACAGGATTGGGCCGGGCTGTGCGCAAAAAATAGCTCTAAAAGTAAAAGAAGACGAAGTAAACTAAGGTGGTGTCAAGCAGTTATATAGGTGATCAATGGGGCCTATCACTGTCTCTCGTCCATGCCTTCGTTTTCCCGCATACCTGTGAGTGAGGAAGGCTAGTTTGAATATAACCGCTCCGTCTACCTCCTGGGAACCATGGGGAGACGGTTGTCGAAAGAATTCTAAGGGCGGCCATAACTAATTTATTTTTAGAGCGCAGCTCTTATGCGCCCGTTTCCGAGTTGAGCGGCGTCAGCGTCAGCGTAACCGCGCGCGTTGTATTATGGGACCTCACAGTTTCCCCGCTAAATTTAGCGGGAAAACTTAATTGGTGTTGACGTTACGCGACGTTAATTTCCCCGCTTACTTTAGCGGAGAAACTTAACCCGCTAAATTTAGCGGGGAAATTTTCGCTAAATATCCTGCTAAATTTAGCTGGAAAATTTTTGCTGAATTCCCCGCTACATTTAGCGGGGAAGGAGGAGGAGTGGAAGGCACGGAGGGGGACGAGTCAAGATGCATACCCTCCTCTTCGCACCCTCCCCTCCTCGTCGTCAAGAGCTGCGCTCTAATTTCGCATTACAGCGAATTGTAAACGTCTCATTTTTTTACTGTTACTTTATTTTTTCTTATTAACTTTAAGTTTCTGACGTGGTACTAAGACGCTTGCAGTGCTATTACCCAATGGGACAATTGAGAAGAGAGTTAAACAAGGTACCAACCGGCAACCACAGCAGTTTTAAGAGGATTCTTGATGCAGAAAAGATCTTCGGAGGAAAATGAGTTGAAAGTAGGTTGTTCCGGCTCTCTCTCTCGCTCACTATTTCTCTGTTTCTCTCTCTCTCTCTCGCTCTCTCTCTTTTTTTTTTTTTTTTTTAGGTATACAAGTTATTTTTTCCATACGACAGTTCTGCCCACCACCGCTCTTTGGAAGAACCCGTCGAAAAGATTCGAGATATCGATACCGTGTTTTGGAAGAGAGTTCCCTCTGGGTCCCTCTGGGGTAACCGATCGGCGCGCCCACATATTTGACCCGATTTTCACCGAGCTATGTGGTGTCCTTCGTCCCGCCTCGCAGCATCCGGTCGTGGCTGGAGCAGCTCCGCACGCACGCGTACTGCGAGAACCCGGACGTGGTGCTGTGCGGCAACAAGGCGGACCTGGAGGAGAGCCGCGCCGTGAGTGAGGCCCGCGCCAGGGCCGAGGCCGAGAAGCACGGTTTCCCGTACTTCGAGACGAGCGCGGCCACGGGACACAACGTGGGCCGCGCCGTCGACGCCCTGCTCAACCTGGTCATGCGGCGCATCCAACACACCGTGGACCGCGGGGGAGCGCCGCCGCATGCCCTGACGGCGACGCGACGCTCGCCGCTTGAGGACGGGGACCCGCTGCGCAGGGCGCCCGGGGAGGACGCCCTTCCACCGCCCAATAACGGATGCAGTTGTTAGTGTTAGGCTCACAGGTGGGTAGGCTGCCTCAGTGCTCACACGTCGTATACAACACCGCAGGCATGATGACAGAAGTACCTAAAGACACGCCTTGACCATGGTCCAAGCAGTGGCGTAGCCAAGAAAATGTTTTCGGGAAGGGGGGCTGCTGAAGTTTTATCAGCTCCTTTCCTGGTTACGCCACTGGTTCCAAGCATGTTTTCTTCATACATTTGTAGGCTTCGAACTTTTCCAGACAGCTGTTGCCGATCTGACAGGGCAGTCATACAAGGAAGGAACATCCGTCAGACAGTGTCTGCCTACTCCCTTTAGTCTGATGTAGTGGCAGCGTGTCCGCGGCTTTAGGGCGATGTCATTCTTTGTAGTGCCCTGGACCCTCACGCGTCCACGTACAAAGAAATAGCCGGAAACATGTATTGACGCTCCAGCACAGTCGAGCCATAGACAGCTGTAAAAAATGCGGGTTGTGGCGAGTCGATAATATTATTGCTGTGCAGCTAACGAGACTGTGGCGTTAACCAACAAGAACGTCTAAGAAAAAAAAAAAAGTGAACATTAGAAGTCACGCCCTGCGCTTCATGAGCTGTCGGTGGCTGTAGAGACGCTCCCTCTGTCTCACGCACTCTAGAACAAAGAAATAAGAGAAGCATTGGGAACAAATAAGCACCCCGAGGCTGCCAAGCTCGTGTGAAGTCACCCTAAGTCAGACTATACTCTGTTCGACACATCGGTAGTTTAGCGCCCCATGTTGCAGCACAAGAAACAGCGTCCAAATCACGAGCTAAAAAGCAACGCTGACGGAAGAAGACAAAGTGGACTTCGAAAAGGTGCTGGAAGTATTCCAAAATCATTGCATCGGAAAAAGAAACGTTATTTACGAGCGAGCGAGGTTTCATCAACGCAAGCAAGAACCTGGCGAGACCGTCGAGGCCTTCGTAACAGCCCTACACAGACTGGTGGCCCACTGCGGGCACGGAGCACTCAAAGAAGAATTGGTGCGCGACCGCCTGGTGGTCGGCTTACAGGACGGGAAGCTGTCAGAGACGTTACAAACTGATCCCCAACTCACCCTGGAGAAGGCGTTACAAAAGGCGAGACAAAAGGAAGCCGTACGAAGGCAGCAGGCTGTCGTGCGCCAGGAGAACCCAGCAGAAGAACTGTCTGTCGACGCCCTCCGGAAAACGTCGAGTAAAGGCCGCTCCAGTTCCGGAGACCAAACAAACGAGACTGCGGGGTGGAAGAGCCCGCTACACGGTTGCGGGAAGTGCGGCGGACAAAGCTTTCATGAAAAGAGCAACTGCCCGGTATCCACGTCCAAATGTCACTCATGTGGCAAGAAAGGCCACTGGCAAAAAATGTGCTACAAGAAACGTCTACGAGAAGTCACCACAGAAAAGAATGAACCTTTACTGGAAAGATGGTCACTGGGCGCACTCAAGGAGGGTAGCAGTGCATCAGCATGGAGAAAAGAGCTCAGCGTCAATGGAAAGCCAATCACTTTCAAGATTGACACCGGGGCAGATGTAAATGCGGTGCCACTGAGGGCTGTTAGAGATGTGAGTGCAGTACGACCCACTGCAGTGAAACTCTACGGTGCCGGCGGACAGCCACTGGAGGTGTTGGGAAAGGTTCAAGCCACCCTAAGCTGTGGAAACAACAGCGTCCGAGATGAGATGTATGTTATCCAAGGGCTGGAAGAACCTCTGTTGGGCCGTCGAGCGAGTACGGGTCTAAAGATTGTACAGCTGCTGCAAGCGGTTACAGCAGACCCAGGTGCAAAGTACAAAGAAAAGTTCTCAGGAATGTTCAAGGGTCTCGGGGAAATGAAAGGTGACTACCACATCAAGCTCGAGGCAGGTGCAAGCCCAGTGTCAGTAAACACGTCACGGAGAGTGCCCTTGGCTTTGTTGGATAAGGTCAAGGCTCAGCTGACGGAGATGGAGAAAGACGGCATTATTAGGAAAGTCGTAGAGCCGACTCCCTGGTGCTCAGTTATGGTGGTGATCCCCAAATCAAGTGGGGAAGTCAGGATTTGTGTTGACCTGACAAACCTCAACAAGTGCATCGAAAGGGAGAAGCTTGTGCTCCCGTCGGTAGAAGAAACACTGGGGCGTCTCGCTGGCGCAAAGGTTTTTTCGAAGTTGTATGCCAAAGCGGGTTTCTGGCAAGTGAAATTGGCTGAAGACTCACAGCTGCTCACAACTTTTATAACCCCTTTTGGCAGGTTCTGTTTCCAAAGGCTCCCCTTTGGCATCTCCTCGGCGCCTGAGCACTTCCAAAGACGTATGAATCAAGTTCTTGAGGCGATACCTGGAGTGTTGTGTCACATGGATGACATTTTGATCACGGGAAGAGATCTCAAAGAACACGACGAGAGGCTGGAGGAGGTCCTTTCGAGACTGAATGCTGCGGGAATCACACTTAACGACGAGTGCGAGTTCGCAAAAACATCTTTGAAGTTCTTGGGACACATCCTGAGTGCGGAAGGGATCCAGCCTGACCCCGAAAGAGTGAAGGCAATCGTGGACTTCCGGGCACCAGACACCGTTACTAAAGTTCGTCAGTTTATCGGCATGGCTAACCAGGTTGGACGGTTTATACCCAACTTGTCGGAGAAGCTAAAACCCATCCGAGATCTTCTCAGAAAAAACGCAGAATGGAACTGGGACGCCCAGCGGCAAGGAGCATTCGACCAGGTGAAGCGAGACATCGCGGAAGCTACAACGCTGACACTCTATGATCCCCGACAGCAGCTGATAGTGTCGGCAGACGCCTCGGCGTATGGGCTAGGCGCAGTGCTGTTGCAGAAGGATTGACAAGGACTGGTGAGCCCGGTCGCTTTTGCATCCAAAGGACTGAGTGAGACGGAAGGAAGGTACGCGCAAATAGAAAAGGAGGCTTATGCGGTCACTTGGGCATGCGAACGCTTTCAAAAGTTTCTGATAGGAACCAAGTTTCATGTGCAAACGGACCACAAACCCCTAATTGCGTTATTGGGTGACCGAGAGTTGAATACCATTCCTGCAAGAATCCAGAGGTTCAAGCTCAGACTCATGCGTTTCAGCTACTCCATAGAACATGTACCCGGGAAGGATTTATGGACGGCAGATGCTCTCTCGAGATCCCCAGTAGAGCCCCCTGAGAAGATGGAAGAGGAGTTAGAGGCGTACGTCCAGCTTGTGACAAGCTTCCTGCCAGCTACGAGTCACTATCTGGACGAAATACGCACTGCTCAGAGTCAAGATCCTGTATGTTGCAAGTTAAGAGAGTACTGTGCAAAGGGCTGGCCCCACAAGACGGACATCCCACCTGAGATCGCTCCTTACTTCAGGCATAAAGACAGCCTCACGGTACAGAGCGATCTCCTCGTGAAAGACAATCGGTTAGTAATCTCGAAGTTATTGAGAAAGTGCTGTGCCAATTACATGCAGGGAACCAAGGAGTGTCCAAGTGCAGAGAACGAGCAAGAATGTCAGTGTGGTGGCAAGGACTCAGCACTCAGTTGCAAGAGGTGATTACCAACTGCACAAGCTGCATCCAAGAGCGCATCCCAAGAGTGGAACCTATGATAGCATCGGAGCTCCCCTACTATCCATGGCAACGTGTTGCAGCCGACCTCTTTGAATTGAACGGCAAGCACTAGTTGTAGATTACTACTCCAGATTTATAGAAGTGTGTCTGCTGAAGCAAACAACATCGGAAGCGATTGTGGCGGACCTAAAGTCTGAGTTTGCCCGCCATGGGATACCGGAGGTGTTCAGGTCAGACAACGAACCGCAGTTCGCGTCCAAGAGTTTTGACGAATTCACAAGAAAGTACCAGATTCGCCACATTAAAAGCAGCCCACACTATCCCAAGAGTAACGGGGAAGCAGAACGCATGGTAAAGGTTGCCAAAGACATCCTGAAAAAGGCCGAAGACCCAGAGCTGGCACTTCTGATCTACAGAACTACACCAGGCCCCTGCGGATATAGTCCAACTCGACTACTCATGGGACGGCAACTACGTACAACTTTGCCTATGTTGCCATCCATGTTAACCCCTAAAGTGCCAAACCACGCGGATTTCCGAAGAAAAGATAAGGAAGAGAAAAGAAGGCAGGCCCAAGGATACAATCAACGGCACGGAGTAAGCTGCCACAAGGAGCCGTCCATCGGTGGCTCTGTTTGGGTCAGAGACCCTGGCACGCCGGGGCAGATTGTGAGGAAAACGAACAACCCGAGATCCTTCGTGGTGGAGACACCGTCTACACAACTCGTCCGGATTACCTACCATTTAGTCCCAGCAGAAACACCGAGAAAGAGTGCTCAAACCGGATACAATGGAGACGAAGAAACGATATGCGAACAAATGATCAATCCAGGCGAGAATGTCCAGACCCCGTGCGTTAAGGACAAAGAACCGACATCGGAACAGGTACTCGGCCCAGAGGGAGGTCCACCTATGGCTCTCGGTCCGGAAGAATCTACTCCGACATCGGAACAGGTACTCGACCCAGAGGGAGGTCCAGCTACGGCTCTCGTTCCGGAAGAATCTGTCATCGACTCCGGCACAAGGAAAGAGGAGCCCTACACTCTCACTAGAGCTGGGCGACCAATCATTCGGCCCCAGAGATTCAGAAACTAGTTTCAAGCCCATTGTAGAGAAAGGGGGATGTGGTAATAATCACGTTTATGCGTTTCAATAAAACCCCGAGAGGGGGCAGCCAGTTGGGGGCGCGTGCTTAACCCAGCTCGCTGGTGCTGTTCTGTCTCTCTCTGTGTGGTCAATCCGAATTATCACGACAATTGCAAGCTTAGCGCCCCGATTGATTCCCCATGGGCACCAACCAGCCACCGGCGCGCCGAGCGTGCGCATGAGCGTGATCTTGACAGGCTTACCATTGCAAGTGCTTGCCAGCACGTGCAGAGAGATGGTGGCGGTCAGTGGTCTATTGGCGACGTGCGCGATCGAAAGTGTCGCTGAGGTCTGCCTTCCACGATTGGCCGAATGCTGACTATGACGTCAGCAAAGGAGTTTTCATCGAAAGAGATAAGAGTAATGAAAGAACCTCCATTTTGGTGATGTTGGCAATGTTGGTTTCAGTGCGCCATGATTTCAAGCTTCAACCATGTTCATTACAGACACCACTGAACTTGTCATTCGCAAGGTAATGACGAGAGGGAACCCCAGGAGGTCGCCACCGAAACATATCGCTGCTAATAGCACATTTCAAAGCCAAGTACATAGCGCGTTTTCGGTTTTTGGTTTTGTTCCAGGCATGGACATGACTGTTGGAAATAAAAGTTTCTAACCAGAGCTCGAACCGGGAGACACCGTTCCGAGCTCCCCAGAGGAAAAGAAAAAATAAAGAGAAGTGCTTCGACGACAGAAATTCTGACGTCCCCGACCAGAGATGAAAGACGCCTACCCTAGTGTTGGTGGCATGAATCCCGTGCTGAAGTTTTCTTGTTTTCCGTTCTTCAGCGCGGCAAACAAAAATCTCAGCGGTGATATGTTCTTATGTGAAGCCCCTCGGGTGCCCAATCTGGTGAGCTTGTAGCATCCCCCAATGGGGCTGCTCCGCAGTTAGTTTCGAGCAAGACCGTAGTGACGAATATTTTTACGTCACCTATACCTTCTGGCACGGGCTCCGGAACCGGGGGGGCAGGGGGGGCGTCCGCCCCCCTCATGTTTTTTTCGTAGGGGTCATGCCCCCCCGACGCAGAAGGCTGACCCACAACCAGGCACGTAGCCAGGATTTTGTTTCAGGGGGGACCCACTCATGACAAAATGCTGTATGAGGGGGAGGGGGGAGAGGAGGACCCATGCAAAATGGAAGATTTCAGGGGGCGGCCCGGACCCCATGGGCCTCCCCCCTGGCTACGTGCCTGCCCACAACCCTCCCTTAAAGCAACATGCTACCGCGCCTTCCCAGCTTGAAGCGGAATAAGAAAGGACAGTGACGTTTTGTCGGGACGAGAATTGGTGGTTAAGTGCTGGAGTAAACGTTTCTTCTGAGCCAGCCTTGAGGCGCGCGTATTGGTCACATCTTAATCCCTGGCAGCGGGACGGGGACAGCTTAGGAAAGGCACCTTTCTACCATACCTAGTCATCGGAAAAGATGGCGGGGAGGAGGCCTCCCTCCGGCTCTGGATAAGCCTCCCCAAACGTAAAACCTCTTGCCGCGGGAAATTGGTCTCTGGCAGAGCGCTTCGACGAACAGCAGTCCGGAGCACATGTCCTTGGAGGGACTGCACACTCTCTTTGACGAGTTTTGCTTGGGATCGGCTCTTTCAAGCTCGGCCATGCCAATACCGAGCCAATTAAGTGCACGGATCCCATAATGGCCGGAGAGGGTTCAGAGCTGGCCTAGCATGGTTTCTTGAAGTTTCTGCACGACGCCTAGACGCGAAAAGCATTTCTGCCATCCGTCAATCATTTTCGTACTTTTGTTCGGTGTGGCAGGAGAGGCCACGGAAACGCTCTTGCGTCTAGAGATTTTGAAGCTCTCTTTTTGTTACTCAGAAAAGATTTCGGCTAAACAAAGGTCGCTTCCTCCATTTCGGTTTTTCCGCGGGTACGATCTTCAAAGTGGGGGGGGGGGGGATCTGCACTGCAAGGATGTGAGCCTTGACCCCCGCCCCCGCCCCCCCCCCCCCCCCCCCCCCGATCAGAATTGACTTCCGGAGCCCCTGCCTTGTGGTTGACGCTGTTACTCAGATGGTACCACACACGCTTGGGTCTGTTTTCGTCTGTTCATCTCAAACAAGCTTTCGCGCTGTATTTCTTGTTTTGCCTTATGCTGTGCCATCTTTGAGTAGCAGTGTCAACCGGAAGATTTTTGACGGTTTTCTCCTTGAGCATAGGAAAAAAGCAAGTTTTCTTTTAGCTAAAGGTCTTCTTCTAAAGCCCACACTCATGCAATTTCAGTATGATGAAGGCACCCTCCAAAGATACCTTTGTAAGAAGTTTAATTGCGCTAATTAGTTTTTGTTCATTTGTACAAATATTTTTTTACGCCCCCATAGCTTTCAGAAACAGCCTGTAGGCGTTGTTCAATGAGCTGTGCGATTTAATACAGCAATCTTCTCTCGTCATCGCAGGGACGATGCCAGCACCCCACAGCCACGTCGGAGGAAGACCCCCTTCGCCCGAGACGTCCGAGACAGCGGCGACGTGTTCGCCTCCGCACTTGAGAACGTCTCGACCTCGTGTGCTCTCGCTCGGACTGGTTGGGCGTTTGAGGGCTCGCTGTCCCGACCTGGCAACCCAAGAATGCTGCTCAGTCCGGCTATTCTGATCCGGACAAGGAAAGATTCAGTAATAGAAAGTTTTCTAACATCGTTCTTGAATTCCGTTAACGATACTCGATACTCAGCCGGCGTCTTTACACACGCATCGTGTTGTTTAATGTGTTGTTGTTGCTTTCTCGGGTATCGTTATCGGAGTGCAAGAACGATCCACTCAAACTCTCTCGTAAAGTTAACCAAGGCTCGCAGGGATACGCTCTTGGATTGCTTGGCCGGGCGTCACGCCCACAGTCGAACAGCCTCGCTTCGACTTGTTTAGACCCTGTTCCCCTTTCAGGCTAGCGTTACGCTGTGCGGGATACGGTGCGTCAGCTTGGCGTTGTGTCCTCGTGGAAGCGTTCCTAAAGCCCGGGTTTCTATAAATGTCCCCGAAAATTCCTAAAAGAAAAAAAAAACTAAAAGAAAGAGCAGCATGCTACTCATCCGTTACAAGCAGTTTCTCTTCTTCTAAATGACGAGCGCTTCGATCGTCAGTGGTAGTGCTCGTTTGTTCGCGTTCCTGTTGCTTTGCTTCTGCACAAAATCTAGTCAGAAATGATTCGACCTGCGCGTTTGTTTGTTTTATTGAGCGTCGATAGGGGCTGATTTCATTGTGACGATTTTTGCACATTTATAGTCACGGCCATATTAAGAAAGGCAGGATGTGTCTTGTTGTGTTTACGCTCTTGCTTCGACATTCTTATCGGAAGATGGCGCAGTCTTCTTGGCTACCGAAAGGTAATAAAAGAGTCGGGGCTCGCCCTGGCGTTTCTTAAGCTTTCAGCGACCACAGGGACTGTTAAAGTTCTAGTTTTAATAGTTAATCCCTCATCCAGCCGCGCGCATAAATAGCCTCCGAGAAAACAATCCCCGACCTCCGTGCCTCGTTCCGACAGTTTGATACCTGCAACTGCAGCCGTTAGTGCGGCTAAAAAGCTCCCGTCAAAAATAGACCGATTCACCCGGAGCATCTGGAAGGAAGTTCTCGGTCCACGACGAGAAAGTGCAGCCAAAGTCTTCTACTTCCGACACTAAATACTGTCGCTTCTCCGTGACTCCTCATTGCAACTCGCCTTACGAAGTCTGCAGCGCTACCGCTCAAGAATGTAGCTTTTGGCCGGACCGGTGAGCCAAGATGTTTGTGACACGATTGTGGTGGACTTGTCCAGCGTCATCTCAGCCGTCGCTTTTCTTTTGCCGTTGAGCTTTTTGTGGGATCCCTCTAACCGCCGCTGTTCCTACCGTGTGGTTGTGGCTTCATAAAGTGATCGGCAGTTTGTTACGAGGCTCGCATCGCTAGAAAGCAGGTGATTCAGTCTGAAAAACCAAGATGAGGTAAACCGGATTGCGGAGAAAAGTTCTGTAACTATCCGGCTTCGTGGATCTTGACTGTCAAAGGTTGTCGCCAGGGAGCGTCGCTGTGTTACGTGAAGTCGCGAACTCCCTCGTGTTGTGCATGGGCGCTTGTCTATGTGGACGGACTGCACTGGCGCTCGACTTATTCTGCAGGGGCACGCTTTTGGAGCTAAGCTTTGCAGCGCGTGAGTGGATCTTCGTGCAGCACTTCTTTTCAAAAAATTGTGTGTGTACTTTTCGGGCAAGTGCAATTGTGCGATTTTCAGGTGCAGTCATTACCTTCAGCGTGGTAAGCTTGCTGTGGGCCTGTCTGCGCAAAGTATTCTGCGTGTGTAAGTCCCCCTGAAGTCACTGAGACGCCTCGTGCAAACGCGCGTCTTTTTGTCCTACTGCCGAATTTTACCTTGTGATTCTGAATCGCTGACGGCTCGGCGTTTCTTAGCTAGACTAGATGTTGAAAAGTGTATCGTTTTTGAATGACGTGATCATGTATACGCGCATTTAGCTTGCACTGAACTCTCTGCTGAATCGGACCACCCTTCTGACGAGCGCGATTGTTGAGGTCTTTCAGTTCGTTCGTTTATACCTGCAGTTGACAATGATTGTTGATGAAGCAGTGCTCTAAACTCCCATCGCTGTTTTCGTACTGATACTATCGACGTCTGTTGCTGGTTCTTAACAACAACACAACTTGGTGTAGCTCTTTTGCGGTCACGAAGCGAAAGCATAGGTCATGCATGTTATCCCGTGGGATAACACGGTGTCAATATTTCATTCTAGAACTGTCAAGTGTTACCCAACTGTTAGCCCAGGTTTGGAAATCCACGTCCCCTGTCTTCCCGTGCGACCCGGTTATCACGAACGTGATTCATTGGCCATTTCGATCTACAGTTAAATCTAGAAAACAGATTGACTTTTAGAAGTTAAATAGGAGCAACAGGCGATCGAGAGTTTGGGCCAACTTCTACGTACTATGTGCACTCGTTTCGTTTTCTGCCAACCCTTCTTTATATACTTTTTTTGACTCCAGTTTTAAGCTGGATCGTTTTACGCAGGGTATTCCGGGGCAGCTCGTCGGTGATTTTGGACATTCCCGGTTGTAACTCGAACCGGTGACAGGTTAATTAGATTCCGATCAGTGGTCGCCAATTTCTGTCCGAAAGTTTGGACTGCCTCGGGTGGTTTCCCCAAATCAGCCGTGTTCCCATGGCCGCGATTCTCGTTGTAACTTTATGGATTCTACGCTGTATACTCGTCAGTGCACAATCGCCGGAACCTCTTGTAAGTAAATATTACTTATGATGATGTTCTCTAAGGATGTACACTTTGTTCAGAAATATACTTCCGTTATGAGATGTCTGCACGTTCGTGTCCGAGCTCACTTTGTTGGTATAAATTATAGTGCCCGACTGTGCCGTCATTTGCTGGCGCATGCTACTCCAACCAAGGGGTAGTCCGCGAATAAAACATAAAAATTGTTATAATACTAGAATCATTTTTTTTTTTAACATAAAGGTTGTTCCTCGTCGGCGCGTGCTGTTCCACAAATGAGAGAGGAAATGGAGGTGGGAGGGGATATTATAGTTCGATTTATTATGAATTCCTCGAAACGTTCAAGTCAGTATGCACGTTTGTTATACCTGTACCTGCACTGGTGTACCTGGTGCAAGTGCAAGTCAAATGACCCCCAGCCACGGCGAGAAGAGAGCAGGAGTCGGGCAAAACGGCTTTAATTCCGATGTAGACTGGCCTTCAGAAGAAAAAGAATAAGGGTGTGCGAATAGTGATTTTTGAAACCGAATCGAATACGAATCGAATAATTGTGGCACCGAATCGAATACGAATACGAATCGAATAATTTTCGAATAGTTTCCGAATAGTAAGTAGACAGCTATTAAAGTAGAGCAAAGAGATTATAAATTGATTTTTATTGTTCCAAAACGTTCCTTAAAATTATTGTAAAATCGCAGCTAGACAATAATAACTAGAGTTCAACTATATATATTTAAATAAAGACAAAAGCTAATAAAATATTAGAATGCTAAACATAATATCACGGTTCACGCGGATGCTGAACATAAAATCACAGCTCGCTTGAGCCTGGTAGATTCTGAAGCATCGTCCATGATAGGAACTCGACATTATCTTTTTATTCCTTTTTGTAGCAGATGTCCCTGAATTGAGGATCAAGGAATGTGTAAGGGCGTGATGTGCCTGTGCGCTTACGTCCAGGAACCTTATTTTCACTGATCTGAGAAGATTCTGGGAAAACACATTGTCTTGATCTACTTGCGCCCTCAAAAAGCAACATCTTCACACACTGAACAAGTGGAAAAACCATGAAAAGTGTTGGGAAAGACTCGACACAAGCAGCTCTTGTGGCTTATTCAATTGATTGCATGGGAACGGTCGAAAAACTTCCCCACTCTAGTGCGCTTTCTCTTTGAACAACTTCCTGCTTCTACCACTTTTACTTCGCTTACACAAAACGGCGGTACCGTTGCAACCAGTTCTGGAACGTCTCCACCACACGCTTTCCGAAAGAATGCACGAGCAATCTCGTGCGAAAGATGTTCCTAAATGCTGAACCGCATGTAAGCGATTTAGCGAGCGACAAGACGAGCGACAGCGACGACGAGGGTCAGCGAGCGACAGAGATTTGTTACTGTCGCTCGTCGCGTCGCTCGGTGTTTGGATTTCTAGAAAACGTCCTCATCGTCTTGGTCACTTGCTCACGCCACTTTTATGCGGCTTGCCTCATCGCACGACTGATCGAACGACAACGAAGAGGGTCGACGTCGCCTGTCTCGTCTCTCGGCAAATCGCTTACATGCGGGTTATACTTAACACAGTGGTCCCTAATGCAGGCAACAGCAACGTACGTACGGAGAAAGACGGCTGCTGCCGATGATGACAATCATTGTCTAGGAGAAGAGGGTACGTATTGCCATCTTGATGGCACATATTGCAGGCGTGCCGGCGCGTTGTGGAACGCCTGTGAAGGGAATCTCGGGGCGCGACACCGTAACGACTATTCGGAACTTATTCGAAAAATATTCGAAACTTTTGAGAAATATTATTCGATTCTATTAACGAATCGAATAGTTTGATATTCGATTTGTTATTCGAAAATGACGAATATTCGCACACACCTAAAAAAGAGTGATCTGCGGCGGCGCGATATTTCTCTTATGTAGGGTTCGCCACGCTAGAAAGACGCCAAACAAACAAGAAAGCAATGCAGAAGATTGGGCTTCCGCGCTCGGCAACCTTTGTTATCAATTTATCATACACGCGTGATAACTCAACATCTCCTCCCTATACAGTGATGGGAAGGGGGGGAGGGGGGGTATATTGTCCAGTATCTGGAAAGGTAAGAACCCGCGGGGTCTTCAAGAAGGGCAGAAAAGAGTTCCGCGCAGACGGGGTGCACTCCGTTTAATACTCGGGCAGACATACTGAAGGCGTCGCTGACGTTCGTTGATCAGCTTCACCAAAAGCGTTGATCAGCTGTTCAATGTCCTTGGAACGCAGTCCATTTGAAAGTCCCACGAGCGTTAGGTAAGCATGGCTTAATTCTTCGAGCGTTTTGTCTCCTTGTGAGGGGTTGAGGTTTTGTCGGTGGGCCGCCCGATACCACGACCCCTGCGCACTGAGGCGACGAAGGAGACCCGCCAAACACCGGCACACCGAGTGCTTTAAATAAAATAACCAGCAAAAATAGGAACGGCTTCCAAAGGGACACGCTGTGAGTTCTGGCAATATTTTTTTTTTTAAGACTAATAAAACAATGTCACTGCATCAACGCCGTGTTACGCCTAGTCAGAGAAATTTCTGCTCAGGGAATGTGCATTGGCATGCAGAGGTCCTTTTTGCGCTGAACCGTAAATGCGTAGGGTTGCAAACTTGGGCTCCATCGAGCGGTCGACCATTTTTGTTCGGCATCTGTTGGAGCCACGTGAGGGGTCGGTGCTCGTAATAAAAATGAAAGGCGAGCCCTACAGATAACATGAGTTTCTCAACAACCCAGACCAGGCAAGAGCATTCTTTCTCAATGGTGCTATACACTTGTTCTCGAGCAGTTAGTTTCCTTCTCACAGGCTCGGGTGTTCTTTCCCGTCCGTGCCTTCTTAGGATTACACCCAGTTGGCGACAAATGCTCCCCGTGCACATACACCATTGGCTCTAATCAATCCCCCCCTCTCTTTTTTTCCAATTACAACGCTTACACACACAAACCCAGCCCCTGTTCGCTGGCGTCACACTACACGAGAAAAGGCTTCGAGGAACCATTTGTTTTGTATCGTCCAGTGTTGGACAAAATACTCGATAAAAGTATTTAAGGTAAGTTACTAAATACCTGCCTCAAAAAGTATTTAAAATAGTACTCAAGTTACTTACACTGTAAAGTATCGTGAGTAGAGTACAAATAGAAATGTAATGCAATTACTTTTGAAGAAACTTCCGCATTGCTTAATTTGTATCGACGTCATGGACAACGACATTTTATGGTTTATTAGCACGCAAGATCACAAAACTGCAAAAAAAAAATCGTACGGTTATTTTATGCAGTCATATTATAAGCAGCAGGATATTGTCACGAATGAAAAATGATGATGGCGAAAAGCTGAAGAAACTAAACGTTTAATGGGGCTAACTTGTGCCCAAAACAAAATAGAGAAAGGCTAGAGTCGCAGGTGTCGATGTCGGCGAGACCGCAGGTTCGAGCGCTGGGGCGAGACTGACTCCGGACCGTCACTCGGAGCACCTTTTGTTGTACCCGGGTGAGATTCTGGAACATTCGGCGTAGAACGTTCGGGGCGTAGAACATTTGTAACTCGATCAGACAAGGCTCTCGAACTTACGAGAACGTCAAGCTGAAAGAATAAATAAAAGAGGAGTCCGCTCCCGGGAACCGAAACCCTGGAACCTCTCCTTGGAGCCTCCGCACGAGAGCCAAGCGCGGCAAGCATTCGACCACGCGCTCGCTGGGCAATGCGCGTGCCAATATCACTGATAGATGTTACACACCATTTCTGGGACAACAAGAGAGAGGTCGCTTTAGCTATTGGGGTGGAGTTTAGACCATGGCGGCCCAAGAGGTTAACTTCAGAACTAGATGGATGGGGACAACAAATACAATGGCTCAGCGCTCGGCTGACTTAACCAAACGTGGCGTCAGCGTTCGGCTGGAGTTCGCGCTCTCCGGTGAGGGAGAGGAGGGTCTCTTTTGTTACCACTCCGTCCTGCATAAACAATGCGGCATGCACTGTGCCCTGCTCAGCACAAAAGCCGAAGTGGGTTAAGCTCGCATCCCTTGATGACTGCTTCTGGGAGAGATCCGGCACTTAACGTCACTTCACTAATTCTTGGTATGGTTACATTATACTGTGCCCTGTGCTCTATTGAAAAAGATGACATGAACATGCCCATAATAGTGACATCGCTGAATATCACGTCCTGCGGCGCACCTTAGACGCATCGTGTAACTGCAATCCATATTCCCTTTATGGGGAGTTCACTATAAATGAACTTGGGGTATAGATATGAGTGAATGGATAACAAAGAGAACCCACATAATAGCCACTGCAGTGGTCGCACCTTCTTAAAGTAGGTTGCGTTCAGAAAGGCACTCAGCGTTGGGGGACACTTTGTTGGCATTTTGAGAGGTCATCCAGCTCGTAGTTTGTTTCCTGTACTGTTCTCTGTTGATCAGTGTTCGCTTACAGACAGTGTTCGCGAGAGCAATAAGTGACGGACTGTCGACATAAAGAAAAGAAACAAAAGAAAACCTCGACGTTTTGCCCTAGCGGGTCAAATATAGAAAAAGCAAAACAAAAATGTCTTCTTTTTTTTTGTGTGTGTGTTTCCACTTCTCATTTTCTTCTTTTTGTTATTGTCTTGACACTCAAGTCTGCATTGTTGTCGTAGGTCGTTCCCCGACCTGCGTTGCGCCGCAGGGGGGCATCTTTACTTCTGTAAAACCACACCTTTTGCTTGAGGGTTTTTTGTGGGGAAATTTTATGGAAACAAAACGCACCTTCGGAAAGGCGAGGAGAAAACCTTCATCGTTTGAACTTCGGGCTGAAATATCAGTCACAATCGGCAAAAAAGCGATGTTTTCACGAACTCAGTCAAAGGTACCGTAGCTAATCGGAGCTAGCAACAGGATTCGGTTGCTCGAAAGAATGTTCACGTCTGCTCGTGCCACGCTCACGCCGCTTCATCCCGAAAAACTCGGAAAATGGCGGATTGTCAAAAATGTATTTGAGATAATGAGTACCAGATACTCAGAATTGTAATTAATAGAGTATCAAATACCCTCAACCAAAAGTATTTGCAAGTTACCAAGATACTTCAAAAA